ATCCATTCATCCATCCATCTACTCATCTATCCATCCATCCATCATCTTTTTTTTATTAATAAATTTTATTAATTTTACAATTAAGACAAACCAACAACGCATACACAAATGAAAGAAAAGAAAAGAAGGAGAAGAAAATAGAAAGAAAAAATAGAAAGCAATTAAAAACATTCTCATCTCAAAATTGATTAGGAAAGTATGCATTTAGTATCGCATGTCTTAACAGCAGCGAGGATTATCTTGGCACAATATTAGAAAGATGAAGAAACACCGCAAGAGGAAGAGATAATTAAGAAGATATTAGGTTGTGCAGAAATGGACAGACTTACACTGAAAATCAAGCAGAAAGAAGACACAGAATATCATCAAACATGGAATTTATTTTATCAGTGGTTGGAAAAACGGGGTGGAGAGTAAGAAATAGAATCTGTATTGTTAAGCAAATTAAATACCCAGACAACACAATGTTTATTAAGCACTAAGAAATGTAATTAATAGAAAATTAATAAAATGTAAAAAAAAAAATAGTGACCACATCACTCTCTCCAGATCACCCTTAGGGTTTTTGACCAATAAATCCCAGAGCTGGTGTTGTTATTGCTACTCACCTGATCGATGTAGTAGGCGGTGCCCGCTCGTATCTCCCTTCGCTGTTTGAGATCAGTTTCCGTTGTGTCCCTTGAAAGTGCCATATATTCCACCTCTCGTTTGGTCAATTCCTACAGAAAGTGGAATTGAATTGGATGAGAAAAAAAAATATTTTTAAGCTGCAGAATTTAACCTCAAACGGTTCAATGCGGCACAAACTCAAACAGTCACCAAACAGAAACGAATCTAAGGCTGAAGGAACGGTTGTAGGCATTTGGTATTTTAGAGACGGTTGTAGGAATTGGGTATTGTCTCATTTAATGAAAAGAAGGACTGGGGGTGACATGATAGCAGTCTTCCAATATTTGAGGAGCTGCCCCAGAGAAGAGGGAGTCACGCTATCCTCCAAAGCACCTGAGAGCAGAACAAGAAGCAATGGGTGGAAACTACTCCATGGTACAAGCAACTAGAATTAAGTAGAACCTTCCGAACAGTGAGGATAAGTCATTGGCGGAAGGACTTGCCTTCAGAAGTTCTGGTGTTCCATCACTGGAGGCTTTTAAGAAGAGATTAGACAACCATTTTGTCTGAAATGGTGTAGGGTTTCCAGCTTAAGCAGGGGGTTGGACTAGATGACCTCCAAGGTCTCTTCCAACTCTATTCTGAAACTTAGTTTGGTGTTCCCTTTCAGTCATCACGGTTTCAAAGTTTTAGAATTATACATGGTTTGATCAGTAACCAAGATGCAACTTGTCAATTTCTCTACAGAGGAAGTTCACTGGTTAAGAGTGACCGGGGTAAAAAATGGGTGAAGAAACCAAGGAATTGGTCTTCCTTCCCATTTCTAGCAATATAGAGATATCAATCAAAAGATATCGATCAAGGTTACATTCAGGCCTTAAGGCAGACAGTCTAGGCAACTGAATGTCGATGAGATTCTCAAGAACGCAGGTCATGGTTGTCCAAAAGGTGCTTTTTTTACAAAAAAATAAATAAAAAATCACTGGACTTTCTTGTTGGTTTTGTTTGTTTTTTTTACTTTGAAAACGTTTCGCTTCTCATCCAAGAAGCTTCTCTTGGATTTTGGGAAAAAAAAAAAAAGATAGCTGATTGAGAGGAATCCTGGGAGTTGTAGTCCACACATCTTAAAAGTTGCTGAAGGTTGAGAAACGATGCTCTATCCTGGAGGAGTTGGTGTGTGTGTGTGTGTGTGTCCAAACTCGATTTTATTGAGGGCTGCATCAGGGTTGTGTTTGACCTTCGGGGCTGGGAGGGGGGCGGCTCGACATCACTTGTGTTGGGGGCACCTGTGGTGGCCAAGTGCTAAGGGAGGACTTCCCTGAGACCTTCTCCCACTCTCATTATAATCTCCCTTCCTTCCTTCCTTCCTTCCTTCCTTCCTTCCTTCCCTTTTTCTTTCTCTCTGTTCTTTCTTCTTCCTTCCCCTCTTTCCTTATTTCTCCTTCCTTGCTCTCTTCCCATCTTCCCTTCTTTTTCGCTCTTTCCCTTTCTTCTTTTTCCTTCCTTCCTTCTCCTTTTCCTTTCCTCTTCCTTCTTCTTTCTTCTTCCTTCTCCTTTCCTTTTTTTCTTTCCTCGCTCTCTTCCCATCTTTCCTTCTTCGTCTTTCCCTTTCTTCTTTCCTTCCTTCTCTTCTTTTTCCTTTCCTCTTCATTTTCCTTCCTTCTTCCTTCCCCTCTTTCCTTTTTTCTCGTCTTTTTCCTTCCCTCTTCATCTCCTTTCTTCTTCCTTCCCCTCTTTCCTTTTTTCTCGTCTTTTTTCTTCCCTCTTCATCTCCTTTCTTCTTCCTTCCCCTCTTCCCTTCTTTTCCTTCTTTTTCCCTTCCCTCTACATCTCCTTTCTTCTTCCTTCCCCTCTTCACTTCTTTTTCCTTCCCTGCTCTCTTCCCACCTTCCCTTCTTTGTCTTTCCTCTTTCCCTTTCTCCTTCTCCGCCCCTTCTTACAGGCTCAAATGCAAAAAAAACAAAAGGGAAAACAAATCTCCTTTCGTTTTGTTTTGAGTTCGTTTGGATAGCCCTCTGCCAGCGAAGAAGAAGAAAACGGAGGAGCCTCCGTTTTCTGCCGCAACAGCCTCCTGCAGCCCTCTGCCAGGGGAAATGGAGGATGGAGAGGACGGTTGCACACAGCCCCACGGCAGGAAGTCGTGCTGAAAACGGGGCATGGGGGTGGGTGGGCTGCACCTAACCCTAATCCCCATCTCCGTTTTCGACGGCAGAAGCGTCGCGGGCCAGCCCTTTGCCCATTTCCAGGCCAGATCTTGCCCGCCCTTCCTGGGGCCCTGAGTTTGACATCCTTGCTCCAAATGAAAATCCGGAGCCCGAACCTTACCAGGTATTGCATGGCGATAGAACGTCGAAGGGGTCCCGGAGGCCCAATCAGGAAGACATCTTGTCCCAGCAGGTCCTTCTGCATGATCCACCTGAGATGCTGAACCACAGACTGAGCCACGGAGTCTGAAACTAAAAGGAAAGGCCGTGCCATGAACTCGCAAAGCTTTTAAAGGATTCGTTCCACATTCTCGCGCTGACAACTGACTTAGAAGGACTTGGTTGTCCCTTTGAAGGGACACTAATTGGCGTACATTAAAATGAAATTTCATCGCGTACAGGCACTCAAAGGGTCTCCACCTCCAGCATACACTACATAAACATGAGAAGATAAGATAGAAGATAGAGAGATACGATAGATATCTATCAGTTCTCTTTCCCCCTCCAACTGCCTCCCTATTTACTTTCGTATTTTGTATCTTATCTTATAACCTAATCAAATGTCTTTAAAACAAAAACCTTTCAGACCCTGGCCTTGAATTTTCTTTGTCCTTCCTACTCTTAGGTAAGTGCTTGGCCTTCTCTCTGGATTAAGCCGGATCCTGCTTGCACCAATTCCACGTTTGTGCAACAAATTTGCTCTTGTATGGTTCTCACTTGACTGCATGAAAATTTAAATATTCTTTGTGACAATCTTCTATGCTATGTATATTTTTTTAAGAACTATTGATATTATCGAATACTAGCTCTAGGCTTCGCTACCAAACTACGTGGTCGGGCTTAGTTTTTTTGGGGGGGGAAATTCTGCCTCTGCCTCCCAGCATCCATCGGTATTCATCTGGCTAGCGTCCTCTCAGTGTGTGAGAGAGTTGAGGGCTGTTTGGAAACTGAAGCAGTATTGGCTGGGTGAGCAGGAAGGAGACAGCAAGGAGCCTGGGCGTGGCTTAGCTCAAATGTTGTGTACTAAAGCTGCTTGGTGCTATGAAACTGAAACTCCTCAGCTTTTGTGTTTTGCATTTGGAAGAGATTTCTTTTTTTCAGGTGGGGACGGGGAGTAGAACTCCTTAGCATCAGAGCGTGTTAATAATAATAATAATAATAATAATAATAATAATAATAATAATAAATGAAATTCTAATGCGCTGATGGTCATTTAGAAAAATCCTTTCTTAGTAAGCCCCTAGAAGCCAAGAAGAACCAACGTGCCAAATTTCAAGTTTGTAGGCTTTACGGTTCTGGAGATTTTGTGATGATGCATGAATGGTATGTATGTTTGTATGTTGATAAGATTATAAAGATGCTTATACTGTATTTCAACACTTGGGAGACCTAGAAAGCACACTGTTCAATATAGAAATTGGAATTTGCGATACAAAACCAATAAAAAATATTAAAACAGTAAATTTTCTTTGTGACAATGCCCTCCCTTTTGACCCGAGGGGGAAAAAAGACGATAAACCCAGAATCGCAGTCTGTGGACAGGAACCCAGGAACGGAGTGTGTCACCCTTAGGAAATAAGTACGCAACTTCACTAGAATAAAGGGCAAAAAAAACCAACAACAACACGACAACGAAGAACAGGAGACTGGGGGAGAGTGCAACCTCCCGGAGAGAAAATTGCAAACACACAACGGCGCCAAGTTTAACCCGTCCCAAAAAAAAGGCCCTGAGCTTTATTTAAGAGTTTGTACAGAGCAACCAAAAGGGGCTTCACAACAAGTCGATCACAGGTAGTCCTCAGCTGAACAACAGTTTGTTTAGTGACCGTTCAAAGTTACAGCGGCACTGGGAGAAAAAAAAGGGGGACTGCCCCAAAGAAGAGGGAGTCAAGCTATTCCCCAAAGCACCTGAAGGCAGGACAAGAAGCAACGGGTGGAAATTAATCAAGGTGAGAAGCAACCTGGAATTAAGGAGAAACTCCACAACAATGAGAGCAATCGACCAGTGGAACGGCTTGCTACCAGGAGTTGTAGGTGCTCCATCACTGGAGGTGTTTAAGAAGAGACTGGACAGCCACTTGTCTGGAATGGTGTGCAGGGTCTCCTGCCTGAGCAAGGGGTTGGACTAGAAGACCTCCCAAGGTCCCTTCCAACTCTGTTATTCTGTTGATGCTATATTCTGACAGCATCCAGAGAGAAGTAAGAGCAGAAATACTTCAGAATGGCACCTCCTTTTTCAAGCTTTCTAAAAGGCTACCATGGTCTAAAACAAGGGTCTTCAAACTTGCCAATTCATGTGAATTTCATTTTTAAGGTGTGCCAGTGTACCCACAGTAAAAAAATGACAATAAAGGCTATCTTATAACTCAGGTCTTAATCTATGTTTTTAAATCGCTAAAGAGTTACAACCCTCGTAGCAATTCTGTTTATTTTTTGCAATCTAGAGGAATGTTGCTAGTAAATTAGCAAGCTCACATCATTCTATTTTAGATACAGTTTGAAGGAAAGGAATTGGATCAAATTTAAGAAATGCCTAAAATAGAAACTCAATTCAAAACTATCTTCCACGAAGAACAGAACATAAATAGCACAAATGCTATTCTGAAAACAAGGATAGTCCCAAGGATTTTAGGGGATAACCTGTTAAACCCCCAAATGCATTTATGACTTCTTACTTATCTTCATTCTCCTAATATTTAGTCTAGAATTTTAATCCTCTATTTGTGTCTCACTTAAGTTCACAAATATTTAGTTGAACTTATTTATAGAATTCACCAATGCAGTTAAGGAACCCAGAAGGACAATAAAAATGTTTCCTCTTTCAGTTGTTGTTTCATGTATTTATCTTGTTTCATTTCAATAAAATTAATTTCGTTGTTTGGTCAAAAAAAATCATTTTCAGGAAACTCGCAAGAATGATTCTCCTTGCTTTAAGCATCACAAAGAACTGGATGAGATTAGAGCTATTTTATTTGCAAATGGACTTCAGTAAAGCAAAAACCAAAATTAAAATCAAATTGGAATTATATAAGATACATTTAATGTTAAATAAAGACAAGCTATATACAATTAAAATCTAAAATTGATACAAACGTCCTAATGATTCTTAAAATCATTACCACGCGTTTTGATTTTAAAAACTCTGATATTTAAGCATCCAGCATTTAAAACAAATCCTTTTTTTCCCCCCACTATTATATCGCATTATAAATGCAAAAATAGATATTCAATTTTTTAAGATTCCTGAACTACAAGCACAAACATCCAAAATGGTTTATTACTGTATATCTGTCTTCACATTCCACTAATGTTATCAGATGTAAACTATTCCATTGTTTTTAATCACGATGCATAAATGGGTGGAACAAATGCAAACAAGGTTAATATTTTTGAAAGTAATAATTTTGCTCAAAATGGGTGTTTTGTGTGAATACCCTGCCTCTAAGTTGTCACGCAGAAAATATATCTATGTGATCGCTAGGAACTGAAAACAATTTGATAGCACATAATCAATCAAAATCTGCCTCTAAAATTGTATAAACAGTACTGAAAAATTTGGCTGCTGGAGCAAGGAAAATAAATAATTCTTATGACAGTATTTATTCTGTGGGGTGTGTTCTACAGGACCATGAAAATCTTAAAAGCTTCCCTTAGCCAATATTGGACTACATTTTGTAAGCCAACATCTGCATTAAACGAATTGCTAATTTCTGTAATCTGGTTTACAGTGTTTACGAGGAAATTCTTATTTGAACTGTCACATTAAAAAAAAGAGTGACATGTGAGTAAATGGGTAAAAAAAAATTGCAATGCACTAATTGCCTGCTTTAATTTGATGAGATTGTGACAGCAGTGGGATTCAAATTTTTTTTACTACCGGTTCTGTGGGTGTGGCTTGGTGGACGTGGCAGGGGAAGGATACTGTAAATCTCCAGTCAGAGGTGGGATTTGCCGGTTCTCCGAACTATTCAGAATTTCTGCTACTGGTTCTCCAGAACTGGTCAGAACCTGCTGAATATCACGTCTGAATTGTGATGACCCAAAGGAGCGTGGCACAAAGGCAACCCAGTCAGATAATCCGTAGGAGTCCCTTTATTAGTTCCAACTTTGCCCCCCGTGTCCTGGTTACCTTCTGGCTGGAGAAAAACTCTCCCAGGAACAGCCTTTGGCTGCAGAGAATCAAGTCCAAAACGTGGTCAACAAAAACTGTAACTATAAGTCCAATCAAGGCAAAATGAGGCAATTAGTTTGGCAGGGCAGGAGCAAGAATTCCAGACGCGAAGGCACACTCAATATGGTTGGGAAGATGCCAGGAACACAGATAACCAAAGTCAACAAAAGATAAACTCATGTTTGTTCCCAGCAGCTGCCACACTCAGCCTGTATCTCTTTTCCCAGATGTGGCTAATGAAGGGAATCAGGGCCCTTTCCTCCCCTGTAAACCACACAAACCACGTTGCTCCCTTCTCCGCTCCTCCCTGCGTGCCCTAGGATGAAGAGGGGGTGGATCTGGGTCTTCCTCTGAACTCCCTCTCCCTTGTTCTCCCTCTCCCCTGCTCTGCCCAGCTGGATTTTGCCCTTCCCCAGTTTCCTCCACAGCCAACGGAAAAGCCAGGCTGTTCCTGGGAGACTTTTTCTCCAGCCTAGCAGATAACCAGGACATTGGGGCAAAGTTGGAGCTAATAAAGGGACTCCTACTGAGTTCGTGGACTCCCTCTGATCACATCACAGTTCCCCCCAGCAGTTCTGCAGAGCACGGGTCAGGAATCACTGGACTAGACTTTTACTTTGAGCTTAATTTTAAGATCACACAGCTTCTTACTGTAGTTCACCGGGACCAGTTCTGGATTTTTGGGCTTTCTCAGTTTGTAGGACACATCTCCAATAGTCACAGTGTCACCTGAAAGGGAGAAATAAGAGTCACCTATAGGCCCAAACACACTGCTAGCCATGTTTAGTTTACTTTATTGTCACTGCATCTTGTACAACGAAATTAAATACCATCTTCAGTGTACATTATAACTATAAATAAATAAAACACAAACACACCTCCTTCGCATTCTATACAATTGCATTGAAAATCCCTATAATATTGCATTAATCATGCACTACACAGTAGAATTCAATAGAGCTACTGCCCTGGGATAGAAGCTGTTTTTCAGCCTATTTGTCCATGTTTTTATTATTGTCCTGTACTGTCTGCCAGACGGTAATAGTTAAAAAAAAAGGGGGTTCCCAGGATGAGATGGATCTTTGAGAATGTTTTGAACTTTCTTAAGGTAGCAGGAGCTGTAAAGCTCTTCCAAAGAGGGTAGAGGGCAACCCATGATCTTCTGGGCAATGACATTAACCCTCTGGAGTGCTTTCCTATCTGCCCCAGTGCAATTGGCAAACCATACAGAGGTGCAGTAAGTTAAGATACTCTCTATGGTGCTGCTGTAGAAGGTCACCAGCAGTTTTTCATTCAGTTGTTGTTTCCTGAGAAGCCTCAGGTAGCATAATCTCTGCTGGGCCCTTTTGACCAGGACTGCAATGAGAGCCCCCCAGGTCAGGTCCTCTTTTAGGGTAACACCCAGAAACTTAAAACTGGCCACTTATTCCACTTGGGTCTCCATTGTCCTACAAGAAGTTATCTTTTCTGTTTTAAACCAAAAAATAATAATAATAGTCTTTTACTACCTTATTCACAAACTGGCCACAACTGAGCTAAAAATTTCTGTTGTTAACTGAGGTATTTGTTAAGTGAGTCTTGCCTCATCTTACGACCTTTCTTGCCCCATATTGTTCAATGAATCACTGCGGTTGATGAGTAACCTGGTCGTTAAGTGAATCCGGCTTCCCCATTGACTTTGCACGTCACATTGACGTGACCCCTGGGACATTGCAACTGTCATAGGTACATGCCAGTTGCCAAGCCTCTGAATTTTGATCGCGTGACCACGGGGTTGCTGCAACGGTTGTGGAGTGTGGAAAAACAAGTCCTACGTCGCTTCAAACCTTTGTCACTTTGAATGATCCCTAAATGAATAGTTGTAAGTCGAGGACTATCTGTATTATATTTGCATGCCGTGTGGGAATGTTAAGTCCAAGTCCAAACCGCATCGGGTTTTGGTCACCACAAAACAAAAAAGATGTTGAGACTTTGGAAAAAGTGCAGAGAAGAGCAACTAAGATGATGAAAGGTCCGGAGATTAAAATATATGAAGAACGGTTTCAGGATTTGGTTCTGGCTAGTCTAGAGAAAAGAGGGACGAGGGTGGAGACGATAGCAGTCTTCCAATATTTGAAGGGCTGCCACAAAGAGGAGGGGGGGTCAATTTATTTGCCAAAGCACCAGAAGGCAAGAGAAGAAACAATGGATGGAAACTAATCCAGGAGAGAAGCAACCTGAAATTGAGGAGAAACTTCTTAACAGTGAGAACAATCGACCAGTGGAACGGCTTGCCACCAGGAGTTGTGGGTGATCTATCAATGGAGCTTTTAAGAAGAGACTAGACAGCTATTTATCTGGAATGATGTGTAGGGTCTCCTGCTTGACCAAGGGGTTGGACTAGAAGACCTCCAAGGTCCCGTCCAACTCTATTATCCTGTTGATGCTACATTCTGACAGCATTCAGGGAGAAGTAAGAGCGGAAATACTTCAGAATGGCACCTCCTTTTTCAAGCTTTCTAAAAGGCTACCCTGGTGTAAAATAAGGGTCTTCAAACATGGCCAGTTTAAGACTTGTGGACTTCAATTCCTGAGCTAACATGACTGGAGGAGGAATTCTGGGAGTTGAAGTCTACAAGTTTTAAAGCTGTCAAGTTTGAAGATCCCTGGTCTAAAAAGTCTGCTGCTTGAGCAAGGGGTTGGACTAGAAGACCTCCAAGGTTCCTTCAAGCTCTATCCTGATTCTGACTATAGTTTTAGAAAATTGCTCAGGAAAATTGGAGCTCCAATTATGGAGACAAGATAGCCTGGCCTGTTTTATATTCTCTGCCTCTTTTCTGAGGTCTCTGGATTTTCATAAGTAGCTTGACCCCGTATGTCACAGCTTTGGAGCTGATAGCAGAAGCATGGAAGGGGAAAAAAAAACCTCCATGTTATCCTCACCTCTGCCCTCCCCCTGTGGAAACCCAGGCATTCAGAAAGCCACTCAGAAGAGAGGCTCTTTGTACAAGGAGGTCATTTTCAGGAAGCGTGTGACTGACAATAATGAAATTAAAGCAATTGTACAACTGTGACCTTGTGATTGGATATAACAGGAGGAGGGGGAAAAAACGCTGCCTGTCAAAAGTTGTTGTGACATGTGGGCAAGTCACCACAAACCCACAGTTGGAGAACCACATTTCAGCCTACGCATGGTGCACGCCCCAGCTTGTGTTGTGTCATCATGGGATCAATTCAGTGTGAGAAACAGCAGTGAGTACAATGAGGTTTTTTTTTCTTCCAGTGCTAAATTCTTCTTAGAAGGCAACTGTAGCTTTCTTCCTGTTTTTCCACCAGTCCCAAGAAGACAAGGTACCCAGATAAGTTAAGGACACGTTTCTACTTTTGGTTCACACAACGGCCAATAGCTGCATAGCGCTCCAGCTATGAAATTTTTATGCTCCATCTCTCCATACCTATATCTACTATCAACTGGGGGAAGGGAGGGTCACAACTGAGAGAGAGAGAAAGTCAAGAAAGGAAGGAAGGAAGGAAGGAAGGAAGGAAGGAAGGAAGGAAGGAAGGAAGGAAGGAAGGAAGGGTCACCATTGAGAGAAAGAGAAATTTAAAGAAGAAAGTCATAAAGAATGAGAAAAAGATCAGAAAGAAAAGTCAGAAAGAGAAAGAAAGAGAGAAAAAGAAAGGTAACAATTGAGAGAGAAAAGGTTACAGAAGAAAGTCAGAAAGAAAAGTCAGAAAGAAAGAAAAGAAAGAAGGAAGAAGGGAGAGAGAGTGATAAGAAAGAAAGAAAGAAAGAAAGAAAGAAAGAAAGAAAGAAAGAAAG